AATGTCTGGCCACCAGGAAGGCGGGCAGGGTTTTATAGGTTTGCCCTCTGTGTAGAAGGGAGTAGGAACGCCAACTTCTTAGGCACCTTGGGGGCCCTAGGCACTGCTTCTGGCTCTTCGCTCTCATTGTCTTGTCAACCTCATAAGCACCCTGCAGAGTAAATCATGTTATCCCCATTTTGCAGATGAAGGAACTGAAGCTTAGAGAGGTGACATCATTGCCCGAGGCCTCCTAGGTAATCTGATCCCAGGTGAATGGACAGAGTTCAGGGTCAGTTCTGCGTAAGGGGTGCGTAGTGAGCACTGAGTCTGTGCCAGCTCTGTGGAGGTGCTGAAGACACGGAAGAACCCTATCCTCTTCAGGTGCTGTCTGTGCCGCAGGAGCTCTCAAGCCCCAGCTCAGGTTATGCCTCCCCCAAGACTGGGGTCAGAAAACAAAGCCTGGGACCAGTAGATGGCGTAATGGTTATGTTTCTGGACTCCTATGTAGCCGACTGTGGTTCAAGTCCTGGACCTGGTGGCTTAAAACTCACAGTGGGTGCATGTACGTGTGTGCCTAAGATCCCAGGAAGAGAATGGAGGAGAAGGGACTGTGGCATGGCCATTTCCCCTGAGAGGTGATTTCTCGTTTTTTTGTCTCCTGGGAATGCATGCACCCTATAGCAAAAATCTCTCTCTAAAGGAAAACAAAGCCTGCCTCAAGACACAGCCTCTACCAGGATAAGAGGAAAGCCATTTCCTTCCACTCATGCACTTCCGGGTGAGCCATGAGCTTCCCTTGCCCTTATGCAGATGGTATCTGGGGAGGTTGGATGGTATGAGAGGTAGCTAAAGCAGGTGGGGGGACCTAAGGCCATCTCTGTGTTTAGCATGGGTATAATCTCACTCCCAAGCCCTTCTAGTCCTGATTCCCAAGGCCTCCCCCTCCCTCCCACCCTACAGTGTTCTTCATTAAACATGACCTGAGGGTCTAGCAGGTAGTGTGATGGTTAAGGCACTGGACTCCCACATGGCCAACCACTTCTCAAGCCCCATTATCAGCAGCTTGAAAATCAGACCAGGCTCATATGCATGCACACCCAAAATCCTGAGAAGAGAATGGAGAAGGGATTGTAGCATGGCCATCCCCCTTGAAGGGTGATTTCTCACTTTCCCTCTCACTGTCTCCCACTGTTTCTCTCCAAAGAGCACATGTGCCTTGTGGCAAAAACCTTTAAAAAAAAAAAAAAGACCTGGGCTGTCTTGTCCCCCAAAATACCACACTTATGCCTGGGCATAAGTGTGTTCCTGTTCCCATTCCCAGTGAATTCAAGCTTGCCCATCCTTCAAGGTCCAACGCAAATGCTTCCTCCCCCAGGAAGCCATGCTTGATCTCATTCTATGGAAGGTGCCCACTCCTCAGGGCCCTCCTAGCACTTTACCCTTCTCACAGGTTTTAATAGTCTCGACCCTGTACCCGTCTGAGCCCTAGGTCCTTTCTAGATGGTGGGTTTGTTAAGGAGAGAGCCTGATCTAGAGTAGCTGATTCTTTTATTCAGATCTGTATTATGTCCTTCCCAGAGTCCCCACACTGGCTGCCTTCCTGGAGTTGAAGGTTCTGTCTCTCCTGCAGCCCAGCATGGTGCCGGCAGAGCTGATCCCACCCAGGAAATGCAGATTTCCCTCCCTCCATGGAGGAACCCCTCTTACAACCTTCATGTTCTCATCCAGCCAGGAAACCGCATAGGGCAATGCAGAGGTTGCAGAGCAGTGGTCTGCAAACTGAATCCAGCCCACAAATGCATTTGGTTTTGACCTAATGTTTTACATTTTTGAATTAAAAAAATGATTACAGAGGGGCTGGCAGGTGATGTGGTGGTTAAGGGTGCTGGACTCCCACATGGGCAACCACAGTTCAAATCTTGGACCTGGCGGCTTACTTTCTCACTTTCCCTCTCTCTCGCTTGCTCTTGCTCTGCCCCTCTCTGGTCAAATTAAAAAATAAATAAATAAATAAAGTTAAATAAAATAATTGTTTTTTTGGAGAGGTTTTTGCTACAGGGCGTGTGCGCTCACCAGAAAGACGGAGAGAGACAGAGAGACAGAAAGTGACAAATCACCCCCCAAGGGGGATGGCCACGCCGCAGTCCCTTCTCGTCCATTCACCTCTTGGGATATTGGGCACACACACACACACGCGCCCGGCATGAGTTTAAGCCAGCAGATCCAGGCTCAAACCGCAGTTGACTATGTGGGAGTTCAGCGACATAGCCATTACGTTAACTGCTGGTCCCAATAAAATAATTCTTTAAAAAAAAAATGATTACAGGGCCAGCAGGCAGTATGGTGCTTAAGGCACTGGTTTACCCACATGGCTCACTGTGGTTCAAGTCCCAGACCTGAAGGCTTGCTTTCTCGCTTTCTCTCTCTCTTCTCTCCGGTGAGCACACACTCACCCTATAGTATATTAGTATATTAGTGCCCTATAGCATATTAAAAATTGTATGTCCTCAGTTAATATATACCGAGTGTCCGCACTCTATGACAAACTGATTGACTAAAGGATATAGAAACACAGTATGGTTGTGGATACCAGATATAGTGTGTGTGAAAGAGGAGAGACTGAGGAAGGACATTTAGAAGAAAAATAGAGAGGGAAAGCATTAATGGGACAAAGAAATGTGGTTTTATCTGTTGTTGAAGGTAATTTTATAGTATTATCACCTGAACTAGGGAGAAATGTACACATGTTGGAATACTCACTTTGTAAACTAAATAATGCGATTGAATGTATGAAAGAACATGAAATTAAAAATAAAAATAAAAATATTTAAAATAATATAAAGTTAAATAAATAATTCTTTTAAAAAATTATTACAGACATAGTAGCGCATGTGGACAAGGGGAATGGGTAATGGAATAGTATACCACAGCAGAGTAAAAATGTCACTGACAATTCAGTATACACGTCTAGGGCTACCCTCGTGACCTAGTGATTAAGGAAGTCGGATCCCACTTGACCGACCACAGTTTGAACCTCAGCCCTGGTGGCTTGAAAAACAGTCTGGGTGCATATGCATAAGATCCCGCCTAAGATCCTGCTCAAGATCCTGACGGGATGGAGAAATGGAGGAGAAGGGATCGTGTTGTCACCATGCCCCATTGGAGAATGCTCTCCTACCCGCCTCCCTGCTCATCCTTCACCACGAGCACATGTACTCTCTGGCAATTAAAAAAAAGCATATATCTACATACCTAGATAGATATAGATATATTCTTTCTCAAAAAACTAGTAGAGCTATTTTTTTTTCAAGTTTTTGACACATGTGCTCAGCAGAAAGTAAGAGAGAAGGAAAGTGAGAAATCAGCCCGGGGAATGACCGCACCACAGTCCCCTCTCCACCCTACTCCTCTCAGGATTCTGGGTATGCATGCACAGCTGGCATGTTTTTCAAACCGCTGGGTCTGGAACTGGAACTGGACCTGCAGCATCAGTCACATCTTAACCACCATGCCGCCTGCTGGCCAGAAGCCAGTAGAAACGGTATTGAATGTGCATAGCACAATGAAATGGTCAACGCTGAAGAAGGTAACTATGTCTGCATCTATGATTTGATAATTATACACTGTATACATGCTATGAAACACCACGCTGTACCACACAAAAAATAATTACAATTTTTTCAAATTAACTGCTAACATTTCAGAAATGATAGTTTTGGATTGATTGACTGATTGATTGATTTGCAGTAGGGTGCATGCACTTACCAGAGCAAGACAGACAGAGAGAGAGAGAGAGATAGAGTGAGAAATCACCACCCAGGGAGATGGCCATGCTGCAGTCTCTTCTCCTTCATTGTCCTCTCTGGGTTTTGGGCATGCACACACACGTACCAGGCATGATTTTCAAGCCACTGGTTCCAGGACTCAAACCACAGTTGGCCATCTAGTATCCAACACCTTAGCCAATACCACCTGCTGGCCCGAAATGGGAGATGTTTAATTAGAATGTGCATTTCCTGCATTTTGTGGAAAATCAGAAGGTCTGCCATCATGGGCACCATAAACTGCGGACCAGAACCTGCAAAGTGGCTCCTCCTCTAGAAGGAATACTCACCAAGTTAGCACAGTCCCGCTACTCCCTGCCATCTCCCCGACATGGAGTAGGTGTAACTTGTCATTTATCGTCACCCGGTCCTTCACACAGTTAGGTCACCTGCACGGCCCCTGCAGGCCTCTGTATTTGAGTCCTCTGTGGCAATGGCCATGGGTCACGTGGAGTCTCACCCCAGCCTCACCATCTACCATCTGCACGAGCTTCTTGGCCTCTTGAAAATCAGGAATGGCCACTCTGCAGGAGGAGGAGGAGGATTAAAGGACTGGACACGAGTGACACACCACATGCATAGGAAGGCTCCACATCCATGCCAAGGTGGTCCGCACTGGCAGTGTGTACCTGTCCCACTGAGGTCTCCCTGTGTTCACTTCCAGTGCTACCAGACTGGGCTGATGTCCCGGTATGTGGAGTCCTGGAGAGCCGGAGACACAGCTTTCTGGCGAGGACCTTTCGGAGGCTTCTTCTACAAACCAAACCAGGTCAGTGCCAGCTCCCCGAGTCCTCAGGGGATCCCTCTTGGCTTATCTTCCAGGGCTGAGGTGTTTGTGTCTCAAGCCATGGAATCTCGCTATTCCATTGTTCCTGAGCTCAAACCCAAGCCCGAAAGCATCTTTGGGGTTGGACATAGGAGGAGGTGGAACAGGCACTGATAAAACTGTCTGCTCACGCTCTAGGACAGTCCATGGCTGCCCATTGCTTAGAAAATCAGACTCGAGTACTAATTGCTCAGCACTCCTATACCATCTGACCCGCAGATCTCTTTCTGGTTTGATATTCTAGCCATAACACTAGATAGACCCATGGCTCCTTGATACACTCCACTTTCCAGCTCAGAAAGCTCTTTC